GATTCAAATCTAATTGAAAATGAATTTTGATATGTTCTTGAACATATTGGTATATGTCATACCTACTGGTATGCCACTTTTCTACCTAAAGATCTCTGACCTACTTAAATGTCTCAACCTTATGTAATTATGCTATTCCTACAGGTATGTCTTAAACCTATTCAAAGGTCCTACTTTTACTAGTATGTGTAAGATCTACACAAATGTCTTCTCCTACTCTCAAACGTTCATCTTGTGAACACTTCTACCAGTAGGAGACCTACTCAAATGTCTTTAGTGCTATCGGTAGATATTTTCCTCAATCAATGTACTTTACAATTAATCCTACCAGTATATCTCTCACCTTCTAGTATGAGGTCTTCTCTTTCTTATCTAAAACCTTCAAACTTATATCGGTATGTCATGACTTCTACTAGTAAGTCTTTGAGTATTTTTCCTCTATTTTTTCATTTTGAAAATAGAGCATCCTAAATCTTCTACAATCTCTAATCCTTTCAACTTTAATGTGTTGTGTACTTTTTCCTATCATCCTAATATAGTTTCTAAAACAACCATGAGAAAAATTAATCTCTTACAACATTCCTTGATTATTGCTTCCTACTTGTATGCCTTTGCTCTACCAGTATCTTTCTTTTTACTCTTTTTCAGAGCATTTAATGCATATGGCCATTACTTTTCTCAAGGCGCTAACAACATGCAAACCCGTCAAAAAGGCATTGTTTCATTGCCTTAAAAGATGAAAGAGTTATGAGAATCCAAGTTGAAGTAATCAATGGCAGATTTATGAGTCTAATAGATAAATCTTTAGAACCAACTATAAATTGAACTTATTTATGAAGAAGAAGATAGTGAAGATATATTGAGCCACTATTTGCATTCATTCTCTAACTACTTTCTACTATTACATTTGCTTTACAGTGTACTTCATTGATTGAATATCCCCTCTATAAGGGAGAGTTTTCATAGCAGTGATTTAGTATTGAATTTTTTATATTTCCTTCTATATTTCTCATTAGAGAAAAAGTTAATTAAGCTTAGGGAGCTTAAGGGAATTAAAACATCTTAGTAAGGGGGAGAGTAACAAACTTGAGAAAGAGTTTGAATTATAATGTGGCAACCAAAATTCTGGATTAATCTTGGTAAGAGATAGTAAAAAATTTCAAGAGTATCTTAAGGACTGGATGTAGACTCAAGTGGTTAAGAGTTGAACCAAGATGAAGACTCGGTGCAAAGCTTTCCTTCCTTTCGCTTAGCCTAGTTGGTGATATCACTCTTGACTTGTAAATCTTGCATTATTTGTTTTAATTTTTTAATTAACCCAATTCACTCCCCTCTCGAGCAATTTTTATAGATTTAGATTTTGAATATTAGCAGTGATGTAGTTGTATTCAGCAACTTGTAGAAGACTTCTGTATTCCACTCTTTTAGGGTCACTAGCTTCTTTTTTTATCTAAACTTCCTCCATTTCCTCCTATTTTCCAAGTGTTGCTTTAGTTGTCTCTAGCTCCTATTAGTTTCCTATCTTCTAGAAGCTCAAGCCAAAAATTATATTTTAACCCAAATAGGTTTATAATCAATTTTAGCAAGCATGAAGTTGTTTGAGTATTTTGAAGAAAACTACAATTTTATATTCATATAACTGACATTGACATATCTAATAAGTGTTTGGATATTTTTTAAAAAATTATAATTTTAAGTTTATAATTAATTTTATGATGTAATAAGTATGTTTGAATTTATTTTCATGAAATGGTGGTTTTGATATTAAAATAAGTCATGAAGCTTTCAAACTAGCACAAAATTGACGAAAAGTCAAGGTCATCTGTGTTAATTAGGCAATGATTGACGAATAAAATTGACGCACGTCAAGGTCATTCGTGGACTTGGAAGTCGATTTCAAGTTGCCGCTACTCTCAAAACAAACCAAAATAGACGGCGTTGTAATTTTCTGTTGTAGTTTCCATTGGGTTGAGTCTAATACGTGTGACCAAGTCAATTTGTTGCCTTCAACTCTCTTAAATGCTTGCCAGTTGTAAGCGCATAGTGAATAATGTGAAGTAGGTTTTTAGTCTCTAGCTTCTCAAAAGTTCCTTTATTAAAAATTATTTTTTTTATTTAAAAATATAAAATATTTTTAATTGAATCTCACCTTTTAATAAAGTAATTATTTATTTTTAATTAACCCTATTTTTTTATATTTATCTTTATTAAATATCTTATAATAAATATAAAATCATTATCAATAGAGATATTTAAAAAAAAAAAACAATAAATATACCTCGAAAGATTAAAAATGTCTTATATTTTTAAATATCTAACTTCTCAAAAAATACTTTATATTTTTGAATGAAGGGAGTACTTCTCATAATATTTTTTTTATGAATTACTTCTAACTAGTTCATTAAAATTAATATGAGTTAGTTAAACATGATAAAATTATATTAAAATAAATCATTTTCAATTTTGTCCCTTCATTTTAAAAAAATGATTTGATGTGTGAAAAGAATTTTTTAAAAAATTGAAGTGTTGCACTTTTTTAAAAAATTTGCTGGAGGGCACTTTTAAAATTATATATAAAAAGTTAAAAAATCAAGATAAAGTAACTTATGTAAAAAATTAAAAAAAACTTTTTAGAATATGATTTATAGAAAAGATAAGAGGGAGTATACATTTTTTTTAAAAAAATTAGTTTGATAAATTAAAAATGATTTGAAAAATATGCGCCAGACCAACTTCTACTATTTAGAAAAGGAAAAAATAATTTACAGGTCTTTTAAATTTTTCTCAAATTTAAGTTAGATTCCTACAGTTTTTCTTTTTTCATTCGTTTTAACAAGACCTTATAATTTGATAGATTAAGTATGTTACTATTTGAAGATATAGAAAAATTGATTTAATAGTTTTAACCCAAAAAAATAAATTTTGATTTAATACAATCCTTATGTTTTTATTAATTCTTTATATAAAATATATATGTATAAAAACTATTTAGAAGATCTACTTATATAAATTTTGAATAATGAACATTATGTAATTAATTCTAAAATTATATAATCTTTTAATAAAATATAAATTTGGTAGTTTTCCTTTTTAAAAAATTAGAATTTTAAATTTTAGGGATTGTCATAAATAATCAATAAAATTATAAAAGTTTGATTAAAATCACATAAACTATAAGAACCTAGTTCAAAATTGAAAAAAAAAAATTATAATAGCCTACATATTAGTTTTTTCTAAAAATTAAATGAAAGTTGTTGAAAGTCAAAAAAACAACTTTTAAAAAGTAACTCATATTAAAATTTGGGTTACTAAAACACAATTTAACTATTAAACTATAAGTCCAAAAATATTTAAGATTCTAAACTTATTTTTAATATATTTTTCTCATTTAATTTTAAAAATGGATCAATATTGCTCCTCCTGCTATTAACAAAATTTAATTTTGACAGTTAGTTAATAAAAAAAATTATAAAAATGACAAAAATTATAGAAAATGACCAGAAATTACAAAAAAGGACTAAAAATTATAAAATCTCTACGTTTTTATGGTCAACTAACGATAAAAGTTAAAAAATGTTAATAGTAGGAGAAATATTATACCGGTTTTAGAAGTTAAAGTAAAATATTATACTAAAAATAAATTAAGAATTCTAAACGCTCATAAACCTATAGTTTAGAGGCATATTTTCTTTTTAACCTGTAAAATTTTATAAGTCAACTTTCAGAAATGCTACAAATAAACATTTTGAAGTAAAAACAATTCATCCAAGTAACTTTTAGTTTTTCAAAATTGCTTAAAAGGACTTATGTTTGTTTGGAGGGTGGAGAGGAGAGGAGAGTGTTTTGGTGTGAATCTCAAGGAGGAAAAATTTATTAAAATTTTCCCTTTCTTCCTCTTTGCCAATCAAGGGGAGGGGCCTCCCTTTGTCTTGTCCCCTCCAAACAAGGGGATTAGAGAGAAAATTTCATTAACATGTTCCCTCTCCTCTCCTCCGGTTTGGAGAGAAAATTTCATTAACATGTTCCCTCTCCTCTCCTCCAACCAATCAGGGGATGAGTTTCTCAAATGCTATAATCAAATAACTTAATATAAATGTATATTAAAATAATGACAAAACTTATAAGGGAAAATTTCAATAAGGAACCCTTAACCAAACATAATGAAAAAGAGGACTCTTGAATTTTTAAAATTTCACTAAAGACCCATATCGATTTTCATTTGAATTTGTGATAGAAAAAACAAAATTGCTTTCATTTAAATGAATAACATAAATGATTTATTTGTTTCCATACTGTATATTATTTATTTACTTACACAATATTGTTTGTTTCTCTACTTCATTTGTTTATAGTCCTACTTTAATTTTATTTTATTTCAGGGCTATAAACAAGTAAAGTAAAAAAACGAATAACATTTCGTAAGTAAATAAATAATAGTATGAGAAAAAGCAAGTCATTTATGTTGTTCATTTAATTGAAGATAATTTTGTCATTTCTGTCACAAATTCAAATGAAAATCTGTACGAGTCCTTTAGTGAAAATTTAAAAATTCAAGAGTCCCCTTTTTTATTATATTTAAATAAACTCAGTAAAATTTTTCCAACTTGTAATATTTATTAAATAATTTGAATATAAGAAAATTCAAATTAAAAAAAATTATTATTGAATGCATGAACTAAAAACAAAAATCGTCTTCGATTTTTTCTGAACATTTTTAAATTTAAATATTTTGAAACAATTGACCAGAAAATATATTTTTAATTTATAATTTTTATGTATAGTTTTTCTTTGGTAATTTTCTTGTTTGAAATAAGGAAGTAACTAAGGGATAACAAATGCAACTTCTCTGATCCTTCCCGGGAGGACTTCATAATTCTTATGACACTTTTATTGTAGTTAAGACTTTAAAACTAGAGATAACAATAGTTATTTATGGCCATCCGGTCAAAACTTGTTTTATTTATTGGCAATTCTTCTTCTCTCTGAATGTAGTAGCTGTGGCTGCCGCCGTGGCATCAAATGTCTGCTTTCTTCCATTGCTATCTTTTCTATGTGAAAGATCTGAAACAGTATTTGCGAACAAAATAACTCTCGGTACTTCACTTTCCCCCACTATTCATCCCACTTCACAATAACACAATCGTGTGGACTGCAAATCGTGATGATCCTCCTGTCTCCTCAAATTCAAGGCTAGTTCTAGCAATGAACGGTGAGCTTCTTCTGTAAACAGGTCCAGGACAAAAACCTTCTATTGCTTACATGTTAGAGCCTGCAAGCTCAGCATCTATGCTTGATTCTGGAAATTTTTTGCTCTAGGGAAGAAATCATAGTGTTATCTGGCAAAGCTTTGATTTCCCCACTAACACCATATTAGGAAGTCAGAATTTATCTGCTGGACATGGATTGATCTCTGTTTTATCTGAATCAAACCATTCAAGTGGACATTTCGTTCTTAGGATGCAGGCTGATGATGGGAATCTTGTTGCTTATCCTTTGAACAGTGAAAGGAACGATGATGCTTTTTGGGCCTCAAATACGCAGGACGCAACTATCTCACAACTTAGTCTTAATCTTACAGGCTTTCTCTGCGTGGGCAGTGATATGAATACCATTAAGGTTATTGCCCCTAGCAGACAAATTGGATAGAACACACGCTTTATCTACTGTGCAACACTGGATGTAGATGGTAATTTTAGATTGTATGTTCACACATTTAAGAAAAATGCTGGCTTCGTTAGCCAAATTGTGTGGCAAGCTATTTCGGATTATTGTCAAGTCAATGGATTTTGTGGCTTGAATAGTTATTGCTCTATCGTTACAGGCAAAGCTGTATGTAAGTGTTATCCTGGATTCAGGCCAGTCAATAATGGGATCATCAACAACATGTTCTTGGTTTGTGAACAGATCATAAAAAATGACTGTATCACCAGTGAAGATCCAAGGATGCTATACAATGTTAGCAATCCATTGCAACATATGCAGTGAAGCCTTGTTCCTTATTTGGTTATTTCATTGGAAATGGAAGCTTGTGGGAATTCTTGCCAGGAAGATTGTGATTGTGGGGCAGTGTTACATGAAGATGGAATCTGCATGAAGTATAGGCTTCCGCTTAGATTTGGCAGAATCAATCCAAATTCAACAGCCACAGCCCTCTTCAAGTTGCCTTCAGGAATTATCATAACTACTACTCCAAATCCAAAAGAGGCCTTTCGTTCTTGTTGATCACAAGAAAATCTTATTTTAACTCTGATCTTCACTTTAGGCTCAATTTCATTTGCTTTCCTAGTCTTTGCAATGTCTATTTTCTTCATCTACAAGTGTCAAGTCCATTCATGCAGAAAGCTATTTGCAAGTGCAAATCTAGGATTTACCAAGGATTGCAGTCTATGAATTTTTTCCTTTGATGAATTGGGAATTCAACAGGAAATTTCACAGAACAAGTTGGTAGAGGATCTTTTGGAGTGGTTTACAAAGGAATGATTCAAGGAAGCAACAGAAGGATTGCTGTGAAGACGCTAGACATTGTTGTTGATGGAGAGAAAGAATTTCAAACTAAAATCACTACAATTGGTCAAACTCATCACAGAAATCTAGTTCAGCACATTGGTTATTGCATTGATGGTTCAAGAGAGCTTCTTGTCTATGAATATATGAGCAACGGATCTTTAGCAGATTTTTTGTTCAAGTGTAATATACGTCTATCTTGGAAAAAAAGAGTCAAGATTGCATTGGATGTAGCAAAAGGAGTCTTATATCTTCATGATGAATGTGAAGTTTGTATTGTCCATTGCAACATCAAGCCCCAAAACATACTCATGGACGAAGTATGGACAGCAAAAATATCTGATTTTGGATTTGCAAGGCTATCAATGCCAGAACATTCAAGAGCCACAACAATAGATGAATCAACAAGTGGCTACATGGCACCTGGACGGCATAAAGATGCATTGGCATCAATTAAAATAGACATCTATAGTTATGGTGTGGTGCTGTTGGAGATTATATGTTGCAGAAGGAATATAGATATCAATGTTTTATCAGAAGAGGAACTAATTCTTTTAAGTTGGGTGTATAAGTGCTTTGTGAAAGGGGAATTGAGCAAACTAGTAGTGGATGATGAAGATGTGGAGTGGAAGACGATGGAGAGAATGGTGATTGTAGACTTATGGTGTGTCCAGGAAGACTTGTCTTTACGTCCTTCAATGAGGAAAGTGATACTGATGCTTGAAGGTTTAAAGGAAATTCCAATTCCTCCATCTCCAACCCCTTGTTTGATCTTTTATGAATTAATTAATTTAATTTTGTATTCATCTTTAAGTTTGAATTTTCATGTGTGATGTGAAGTGTGTTTGATATCATAAAAGCTTGATTAATGATAGAGCACAAGCCATAATGACATCATGCAATCTATGTAGCCGATCCTATGTAGTGCGATAAGGCTTGTTGTTGTGTTAGTGGATCCATTAGAGCAGCTAGTATGCAATGTGTAACATCCTGAGAATTTTAAGACTCGGATTTATTTTAAAATAAAATGTTTATAATTAAATTAAAATTAAGAATAATTTGATAGAGGTTCAGAGATTGAATTTCATCAAGAAAAATTTAAGTTTTATTTTATTTTTAATTATGAGAAAACTTATCAAAGTTGGTTGAAGCTTTTATGCTATAATAAAAAATGTTGGGCTTTTTCTTGTAATTTTTTTCAAATTATTTTGTTTAGTTTTTAAAGGAAAAAAAAATGTAGAAACATAGGGCAAAGAAGCAAGAAAATGCACAAGACTAAGAGAGAAGAGGAGGAGAAGAGAAAAGGAAGAGAGGGAGTAAGGGCTCAAATACGGGAGGTTTTACGACTATTGTGAGCTTGGCTACACAGTAAGTAACCTCCTTACTTCAATCCTTTTCTTTCCCTCTTAGTTTTCTTGAGTTTTTAAAAGAAGTAAATTTTGAATTTTAATTAAAGGCTTTGTTCTTATAATCTTTAGTTTCTTTGGGTCCTTGGGAGGTTGCTTTGAGTTTCTATATAGTGCTCTAATATTTTGAGTGGGCAATTAGATGAAAAAGGAAGTTTTAAGGCAAAAATCAAATTCCAAGAGATTGAATTTCACTCTTCAATGGTTTGAACCTATTTATTTGGTTATAAATGTGCTATTTGAATCCAATAAAATTTAAATAAAGCTTTGGTTTTCATTATAATGACTAATTGTAAAAGTTGGTAATGGCAAGTGAAGGTTTTTAGTTGATTAAAAATTATACAGTTTGAAAATTGGCCTAATGATTGGTAATATATGATTTTAGTGGTTAAATAGTATTATGTGAATGATTAGTTTAATATATGGACCATTAGGATGAATTATAACTCATTGACCTAAGTTGTGTGGTATGAGTTATAGTATTCTTTTATGATATTTATCATGATAAATGATGTGGATCACTTATGTGTTGTAGGGATTGTTGGTGGAATTTGTTTGAAAATTAAGGGACAAGCCAAGTTTCATTTTGTACAAGAAGAAATCCTTTGTGTATAAAAGGGTTAAAGTAATAAGGAAATTTATATTTCTTATTACTTTGTTTAGCTATTTTTAAATAAATATTACTAGCTATCATGCATTACATGTTTTAAATAATTAAATACAATTAATTATATTTTATAAAGACTTATGGGGTGCTACTTGAATAATAATACATATATGTTTTATATTTGTTTAACAATAATGTTTTTATAGAAATGAGGTTGTTTGCATGTATTGTAATTATAGAGAATGGAAGTTGCACTTGAGGAAGTGTAACTGGGTTAGGCACATTAGAGAGGCTAAGGAATTGCTTAAGGGAGGAGTGATATTTGTTATACTACCTTAAAGTATTGAAATGGTCAATACTTAGGAAAGCCGGACAAGAGTGAAAGGCATGATATGGGTGGAAGTTTATCAATGGGGAAGTGTGGACTTGTGATATTCTATGGCACACTACCAGTACTCAGTGTTGCCTTTCGTCTTGTGGGCTCAATGCATTAAAGTGGTTAGTGAATTGTGTTTTTGACATCTCTCAGTGGGGGAGAGAATCTGACATATGAAGTGTGAGGTTGAGTGTTTAGACTAAGGTAGCCCTCACATGGGGAGTAAGTCGAGCTGGCTTTAGGAAGGAGTTAGCTTCAGCTGCTCAAGATTTATGTCGTAGGAACACAAGTAGTTAGGTGGATTCGATCATGCCTTAAATTATGTTTTGTGCATGTGGAGGTACAAATGGATATAAGGTTTACCTGCGAGCTAAATAGTGCCGGGGGGCATTCTGTCAATCAGGAAAGGTCAAACCAGCCTATGTCATGCATTCATACATTTTAAATGATCAAATTATATGTTATGTTTAATCTATTATTCATTTATTTGACTATGACTTACTTTGTAATAATAAAGGAAGATTTCTCTGTTATTGAGACTGTGGTTGTCTCACTCTTTTTTTTTTTCAATATTTTCAGGTTTAGGTGAAGGATTTAGTGATGGACGAGAAAAGGAATAGAGCTAAGGATTGTTTTTGGATTGTAAAGAACTACAACCCTTTTCTTTTGAGCAAATCTATTGTAATGTATTTAGGATTAAGATGCCAGTAGGATGTGATTATATATGTGTGTGTGAATATGTGTGGATTGTATGGTTTTGTATGAATTCTTGTTTGCTTATAGACTTGTGACTAGAAAACTTAGTTATAGCATGTGGTTTTGATGAATCTATTTGGTAGATCAAGTTTTCACCAGAAGAAAATATTTATTTTGATATATATATGTGATTCCACAAGTAAATGCAAAGTAGTTACATTGCGAATAGCGTGCTATAGGCAAACATACATTTTGGATAGAGAGAGTGGGTGCATGGCCCCCACAGATATCTCTGAGTCAAGTGAAAATGTTTAGCATGTGTATTTATATGTGTATATTGTGTTTAGAATAGTTTTTGGCCACTCTTGTATAATTTGTAAATTTTGGGGGCTTAAGGTCAATTTTGAAAAATGGCACCCAGGAAGTCAAAGTTTAATATAAGGGGTTTTTCTATCATTTAAATGTTTTATCAGGTACTCCTAGTCCTATTTGACATGTCTAAAGTGTTCCCACATGTTTGTGACGTTAGGATAAGATTTGGATAATTTTAAAAATGATTTTTACTAAAAAGCTATACTTTTGCATCCAGCTATCCAAATTTCAATCTAACCGTTGGATTTTCTTAAAATTTGGGTCACAAGTAAAATTTTTTATAATCTTTGTGTAGGCTTTGGAATCACCTTGATCGGACATTGAACGAAAAAACAGAATGCTCTAGAAGTTGGTTTAGAGATGCTGTCGTGACAGCAATATAATGCTGTTATAACAGCAACCATTTTTTAGGTTGGGATATGCACAAATTTTAATCTGATTGTTAATTCTTTTTAAAATTTGGTACACTTGTAGTACTCTTTGAATGTGACGTGTGGGCTCTAGAATCTGTTTGATCGGAGGTTGGATGATGAAATGGTACACTCTAATGGTCCGTGCTGTCATGATAGCAAAAATGACAAACTAGTAATGTGTCCAAATTTTAATTCGACTGTTAAATATTTTTGAAATTTGGTGTACTACTAGTAATCATTAAAATTGACGTGTGAGCTTTAAAATCACTTCGATCGGAGATCAAATGGCGGAATGGTGCCTCCCAGAAGTTGGCCCAAGAGGGTTATCATGGCAGCAATTTAATGCTGTCATGACAGCATTTTTTTACCCTACTTTCACCTAGCTTACTTCCATATACTATAGTTAGAACGTATAAATTTGTTTAAAGGTTTTAAATATTTATTTTGTAATGGTGTATTTGTTTAGTGATTTAAATAATTTGTTTCCTAAGTTGGTTTTAAGATCAACTCCTTAACCACTCTTAGTTTATTTGAATTGTGTAATTTTTAGATAATACTCAATGCAAGTGTTACACAATGCATTGGACTTAATTTATGGAAAAGGTTTATATCTTGTTTGTAAAAGATAAACTATCTTTTCCAAAGTTGACCAATTTATTGATTATTGGTAAAGTTAAATTGATTATAATTGTGTATGTTTAATTTTTTAATTAAAAAATTATCATAAAAAAATTTATTAAGAAAGATAAACAAATTCACCACTATAGACTTTAAAATGTTTGATACTTAAATATTTGACAATTATGAGCTTAAACATTGAATAAATGGAGGTAGAGAATGGGGAACTACATACTTGATGGTGATATTTTTAGCCATTAAATATATATTACATATCTTTAACAGTTATGACGTAAACCATCAAATTTAGTAAGAAAATTAAAAAATGGGTAAGTTGTATATTTGATAGTTTGAATAATAACTGTAAAACTTGTAGTAGTTTATTTTATAATTATTGCCCAAACCATCAAATATACCACTTAGAAAAGGGTAAAGGTGTATTTTTGCTCTTAAAGTATTCTCTAATGGTCAACCTTTGAGTCCTAGTTAATATTTCTAATGGTTAACATTGGGAATTTGATGATAAGGGTAAAAATGCTCTGTTTTAATTATTCTAAGGAAAAAATTACTCTAACAAATAGTTTAAGGTGTTGATAAGTGTTAGATATGGCAACACACCCAAGACAGGGTGAATTGGGTATTTGAGAAATTTTTGGTTCTTTCAAAAACTTTTTAGTAAAATTATGTTTAAAGGAAAGTCTAAGCAAATTTGAGTTCTAAACTTTATATGTAAGAATGCTAAAGTTATTTTCACAAGCTCAATATGTGTAAGAGAGTTTAGAAACAATCTCTAAATGCAAGTTTGAGCAAGAGCAAGTAGAAATATTAAATTCAATTTTATGTACTAAAACATAGCATTAACTAAGGTTGCTAAAAATATAAAGAGGTAAGGAAAGAGAGATTACAAATAATGATTTATCTTAGTTCAGCTCCTTGTCTTGAGCCTACATCTAGTCCCTAAACAACTGCTTGAGATTTCTTCATTATAATACAAGCTTGAGTAGGTACTTGCCACCTTAGTACATCCACAAGTTCAGTTTAGACACTTGTGAGTCTTTACAACAACTCACTTTATTCTTTTTTCAAGAAAACAACCTCTCTTGATTCCAAGGAAAATTTTTTCCTCACATTTACAAAGGTTTTGAGTATGTGAATCACTTAATTGAAACTCTTTCAAAGAGTAATAATAAGTACAATGAAGTTCTAATACTCAAATAATGAAGATATAGATGATATTGACTTAAGAATAATTATTTTCATATGATAAGAGTAATATGATCATGAATTTCATAGCTCAATGATTTTTTAGGTTAATCTCTTGTCAAAATGAGTTTGGAGTGTTATATTTATAGCTCATGGAGTGAACTAAGTATTAGAGATATCAAATGACCATTTAGAGACGTTACACAGTGATTATAGTCATTGGTGCTAAATCTTGTGACACAAGAAAATGCATGTTGTAGTGGCCAAAAGACAAATCATG